GTGTCTGCCTTGCCAAGCTGCAAGAGCAGGAGTGAGGACATTAAAGTGTTGAGGACATTAAAGTGTTTGTGTTGATCTGGCAGGGACAGCACTGGGACAGTGACAGGCAGTGATTTGCTGGGAAAGAGGGAGATGGCAATATCCTCCATCAACATTATTATAGGGCTGAGCCTCAGGGTGGACAACCCAAGAGCTGTGAGAAACACTTTAATTTGCTTTTTCTCCTCAAGGACAGCTAATGGCATTTAGTGCAGCTCTGGCCACCAGCCACCAGGGCACTGAGCCACGGGGGCAGCAGGCACCGTGTGCCACACCAGGCACCGTGTGCCACACCAGGCACATGGCACTGCTGGGGTGATTGTCCCTGGCTGGGGCTGGCAGTGGGTGAGCTGCCCCCCTGCTCCACGCAGCTCTGCACAGACACAGCACATCTGAATGAGCCTGTCAAATGAAATTTTCTGTCTGGTTAGAAATGGATTTTCGAGCTCCTCGCTCACATGTAAACATTTTTAGTGGTCCCCAGTCAAATCAGAGCCAGTGAGAGCAAACATCAGCCTGAGCAGACCCAGTCCCTGCAGGGAAATCACTGGCCACAGAAGGAAACCAAATGCATGATGGCTTCAAAAAGCATCCATTAAAGTTGTGCTGAAGTGATTCATGGTGAGGGTAGTTAGACTTTAATTAGATCTTAATCACGTAATTTTATCTTTGTTTTAGAGATTAGAGCTAAATGAATGGATTGGTCTCATAACAGTGCTGTGACTAAACACAGCAGTGTGACATGGCAGCTCTGTGGCAGGCAGAGACGGGGCTGGGAGCATCAGCCCCGTTGGGTGTTTTAAATAAAATTAGTGTATTTGGAATGAATAAAGACATTTATTTAAAACACACAAATCCGCCAACACTCAGGGAAGGTGGAGAGGGAAGGAGCAAAGAGGAGAGCCTGGTGTGAGCCTGAGCTGCCCCCCAGGCCAAGCCCAGGGGTCCATGGTGTGTGACAAGGAGGGATGGATTGTTTTGTCTGTCAGTTTGGGTCCTGGGCACAGAACCACAGTCTGTGAGCACAGAACCCCCAGCAGGGCTGCTGGAGCTGGATTCACCCATGCCTGGCACAGGGGTCACGTCCTGGAGCACATCCCTGGCAGCCACGCCTGGCTGGGGATGCAGCAGCTCCGTTCAAGTCTCAGCTTTGGCCTCTCTGAGCTCTGCCTGGACCTGAGCTCTGCCCAGGGCTTGTCCCTGAGCCGTGCAGGGAGGTGGAGTGGCAGCTCCATGGCCATGGTGCTGCAGTGCCAGGTGCCTAAAGCTGAGCCAGCTCCATTGTCCTTGAGCCCTGCCCTGCCCTTGCTGCAATGGCAGCAGCCCCTTCCCACCTTCCCCTTCCTGCTTGATATGCCACAGCAGCCACTTGAACTCATTACCGTGGGAGATTATAGGTCCCCAGGTAATAACGAGTCTTCAGGTAATTACTAACAGATTCTCTAATAGGAATGAACTCAGTTGAATCCATTCAGTCACTGGGTAAATATTTATCCCTAAGCTGTCCTTATCTCCAGCCACTGGAGCGTGCCAGGTTTGCTGTCCTCACCCCGTGCTGGCTGTGGCGAGGGGGATGCTGTGAACGAGCGTGGCAAGGTCCCTTAAAATCTTAAAACACTTATTCACACCAGGGGAGCAGCGCTGGCCTGGCCTCAGGGCTGGCCAGGACTCACATGCTGTGAGCCCCAAGTGCCAGCTCCACTTTCCCCCTGCAGCTGGCAGCAGCATCCCCTGGCCGTCCCACACTGACCTGTGTGGGGTCAGAGCTGCCCCAGCGCTGAGGAGCCCCAGCAGGGCTGCGGTGCCTCTGACAGGAGCTGCTGCAGCACCCTGGGGTGGCAGAAAGTCCACGGGGCACCGTCACCCCATGGGTGCCACGGTTGAGTGCCAGCCCCCCTCAGCCCCTCCTGCTGTCAATGCCAGTCCCCTGCTGCCCCCCAACCGCAGCCCTGGCTGTTCAGGAGTCACTAATTGGCCCAGCCGCCTAATTAGCAGCCGGGTAATGAATGATGCAGCCATGCCAAGGGTTCAGCATTGATGCCACCAGGTGCCCCCGTGCTGCACGCACCTGCTGGGCAGGGCTCGCAGGGGAACGTGGAAAACTTCCCAAGCAAATGGAATGTGTTCATCCATGGTGAGCAGGGGCACGTCCCGGGCAGCTCCTCCTCTGCAGGGCTCGTGTGCCCGCGGGCAGCCCCTGTGTGTCTGTGCTGCCCGGGCAGGCGGCTCCTGGCACCACTGGGTGACATCCAGCTGTGCCCATCCAGCTGTGCCCATCCAGCTGCGCCCACCCAGCTGTGCCCACCCAGCTGTGCCCATCCAGCTCTGCCCACCCAGCTGTGCCGGGCAGCACTGACAGCCCTGACTCACCCCAGCCCCGTGTTCCTGTTCCCTGCTGCAGGCTGATGAAATAAGAGGAGGAAACTGGAGCTACTTGGGAGTGTCTGAGTCCCGCGAGCATCCAGCACCTCCGAGGGGCTGGAGGTTTCTGTCCATGACTGTAATTATTTGCTGCCCACTCTGTGTGTGGAAGGAGGTGTGTTAGGAGCACACTCCGGGCATTGCAGTGGGGGACAGGGCTGGGAGTCCCCCACAGTCGCTCCCAGGACTCTGCCTGCTGCCAGTAATCATGGAGCCAGCACTGAAATTGAATCACATTAACCTCATAAGGAGTTAATCAAATTTTCTCAGTGCTCACAGTGAAGTGATCCTGCCTTGGTCAGAGGGATAACAGAGCTCCTTGTGCACCTGGAAACAGCAGGACTGAATTTAAGGAGCTGGTCCAGGGTCACAGCCTGAGCTCACACATGGGGGGACCCTGGAGTCCCCCCTGGGCCAGGGTGTCCTCACCAGGACAGGGGCAGGGTGAACAGCTAATGGGACACAGTGTCAAAGACAAGGTCCTGGGCTGGATCCCGGGGCAGCCCCAGTGGGGAAGGGGCTGTTCTGGAAGCAGAGGCAGCTGCCAGGCAGGAGCAGGGCTGTGACTCCCTGGATGTGCCAGGGGCTCTGCCCCTCCTGGGCAGCACTTGCCAGTGCTGAGAAGGGGCCAGGGAAGGATTCCCTTGGCCCAGCTACTCTCAAGAGCTCTTCAGCACGAGTAGGATCAGGGACCACTTAAATCACATTCATTATGTTTAACTATTTACGAGCTGATAAATATGGAACAGCTGCTCTCTGGGGTTCAGGCCTGAGTGAACCCATCAAAACACAGCACACACAGTGGCCCTGGCCGTGCTGAGGGGGCAGCTGGGGCCCTGCTGTGCCAGGGATGGCTGGAAAGCCGTGTGACAGCCCTGAGAGCAGAGCCCCTGTCCCCTGAGCCCTGTCCCCTGGGTGGGAGGACAGGGCTGGGCAGGCAGGGGGGCTCCCTCTGGCAGCCCCTCTGCTCAGCATCACCAAACCAGCACCACTGCAGGTCCTCACCAAACCCTTCCATCCTCATCAAACCCCTGCCCTGCCTCCTTGGCATGCAGATTGCCTGCTTGGGGCTTTTTAAGCCGTGTTTTAAGAGCTCCTAATGTGCTCTGCATTTTCAGTGCAGCCCTGCCTGTGCCCTCATTTGCTCACCCTTTGGAAAGCTAATGCTTGATTTAAGCACATTTCTGCTCCCTCCATTTGTAAGGACAAATGTAAAGTAATTGTTTGATATCGCAGCAGTTTCCTCAGGCTCCAGCTCTAATTTCCCACTAATACAGTATTGTCAGGAGTATCAATCTAACCTGGCACCTTTTGCCTCCTTGGAGTGGATTGGAAATGGCTTTTCTACTGTGAGGCTGGGATTTGTGAGTCTCGCTGTGAATGTTTTTCTCCTTTAAAGGAAAAATCACACAAGCAAATATCCCATTTTCCTGTCCATGGCCATTAATTCCTGTCTCTCCCTCCACCTGCCCATAACTCCCCCTGGCTCCCCTCACTGCTGTGTCTTCCCCTGTGCCTGGCAGTGGCAGAGAAGCAGATGGGGCTCTCTTAGGTGTCCACTAATTAACTGCAATTTTTTCCTGTTGGAGCTCACTGGTGACTAATCACTCCCAGTAAGGCCTTGCAGACTGGTCCACGGTCCATGCATCCCCACGTGGCCACTGTGCATCACCCTGAGACATCCCAGAGCCCTGGGGAGCCCCGTGCCAGAGCACCCCCGGGCAGGGCTGTGCCACAGATCCCCTCGATTGTGTAGGGCTGACCCCTGACCAGCCCCAGCCCCTGCCCCTTCCCTCGCCTGCCTGTGGGTCTGGGGGCTCCCCGTGGCCCCCCAGCTCTGCCCTGCCCCAGCCCCTGCCCCTTCCCTCACCTGCCTGAGGGTCTGGGGGCTCCCTGTGACCCCCCAGCTCTGCCCAGCCCTGGCCTAAGAACAGCCCATGCATACGGACTGGTGGAAGCCACTTTATTTACATGAAGGGATCACAAGCTGAACAAGGAAACTAGTGCCACTAAAGTACCCGTAACAGCAGGATTCTGTGCTTTATTCACAGGACAAAATATCAGTACAACATTTTCCATAGACTTCTTGGTCAAGCAGACACATCTCACTGTCCCCATGGTGTGCAGGTGACAAAGGCAGAGTGGCTGCAGCTCTGCCTGCCCAGGAGGGGCCTGGCAGGGACAGTGCCACTGCCACTGTCCAGGAGCACCCACCTGCTTTGGGACACAGAGGGACGTGCTTGGAGCAGCCTGAACACAGGCTGCAGGACGGGGCCATCCCCACGGGGACTGTGTGGTGCCAAGGGCAAACGGGAGCCCACGGGGGAAGCCACTGGCACCTGCTGGGCCAGGCAGTGCTGGGCACTCGGCCCTCGGCTTGGTGGCTGCAGCAGGGCTCTGAGTCTTCCTTGTCTCCGTTCACTCTGGAGCACTGCAGGCCCCTCAGGGACAGGAGCCCCCTGCCTGCCTCTGCTCGCCCTTCTGGGCAGGATGGGCTGAGGGGGGTCCTGGCTCCAGCCCCTCCTCACAGAACGCTGCAGCCTCGTGTCACTGCAGCCCTGCTCCCACTCACTCACTCCCACCTGAAGTCCTGCCCGACTGTTTCATAGAATTTGATGTTATAAGGTCTATAAAAGTCCCGAAGCTGCTCGATCACCTCGGGGTCTATCTGCACGTGAGTCCTGCCCTTGGACTTGCCCAGGCAGCGAGGCAAGCCGCTGCTCTCCGACTTCTTCAGGCACGGAAAGCCTTTTGTCTTGTTGAAGTAGAAGTGCTTGTCTGTGATAACCCGTTTGATGCCCAGGAAGTCCTGGACCTTGCCCATCTCCCCTGCGGGGTCCGTGATCAGCTTCTCGCCGCTGACAAAGTGGATCTGGGACAGGGGGAAGTACTGCAGCCAGCCCTGCAGGTGCACGGCGTACATGCCGATGCGGATGGCGTTCCAGGACGTGTCCACCAGCCCCAGGCTGCGGTTGCGGAAGGTCAGCCCCTCGAAGGTGGGGATGTCCGGCTTCTTGGAGAGGGTCTGTGTGTAGTCAGAGATGGCCCTGGTGACAGGGTTCCGAACCACCACGATCAGCTTCGTGTCCCGGGACATGTTGAAGATGCGCCGCGGGGCTTCCTTGGTGACAAAATAACTCGGGGTCTTCTCCACCGTGATCTGGCTGTCAAGGGTCCGGGGCATCAGGCTCCTGCAGGGGAGGCAGACGGTGATGGTAAGGGAGGAGCAGGCACGGGCACCAGGATGGTGGTGACACGTCCCCTCCCCGTGGGACAGAGCAGGCACAGACCCCTCCAGCTGCTGTGCAGGACCTTGGCCATGGATGACCTCCAGGGCCGTGCCAGTCCCAGGGGACAGCCTGGGCAAGGATGGGGGGCACTGGCAGCCCCACACAGGCGTGTGTCCGGTGCCAGGATGCAGGAATGTGCTGGCTGTGCCTTGGGGAGCAATGGACCAGCCCCAGGGGCTGTGCCACTCTGCTGGTGGGAGCTGGGGCTGCCCAGGGGATGTGGGGCTTGTGCCCACCAGGGTATCACCCACCCCACCAGGGCCTGAGCAGAGCTCCAAATGAGCTCCTGGGCACACCCACTTGTTTGTGGCATTGGGAGCTGGGCTGCAGGCCAGGCAAGGAGAACCAGCCTGGGGGAAATGCAGCATCCCTGCAGCACAGCTTAGCACTAATTAAATCATTTGCTTTGACATCTGAACATCCAAATCAAATAAAAACTAATGGGATGGAAAGATTTATAAATTGGTCTTGTATTACTAGAGTAAACTATCAAATCCACTGCAGTCAGATTCAGGGCACTGGAAGTCCCCTGGCTGGAGCAGGCAGGGAGCAGGTAGGGAATGCCTGGAGGGGGGGACAGGGAATTCTGGCAGCCAGGATGAGGCCAGCACCCTTCTGCTGCATCCACAGCTTAGCAGCGCCCTGTGGCACCAGCAGCTGCTGCAGTGTGAGCAGGCACAGCCCGAATTCAGCTCCCTGTGAGCCCCCACAAGGCACACCCTGCCCACCTGCCCGGGCACACTGTGGTGCTTGTCCCTCCACAGGGACCTGGTGCTGGTACTGGGCTCACTTCACCTGCCCTGGAGCCCTGGGTGCCCCAGCGACCTTCAGGCCAGCAGCAGCCAGGGAGAGCAAACAGCAGCCATTCCTGAAACCATCCCTGACTGACCCCATCCCTGTCTGACCCCATCCCTCTCTGCAGCCATCCCACAGGAGAGCACAGGGCACTGAATTATCCCACAGGAGAGCACAGGGCACTGAGTTATCCGTGCACCAAACCTGGCACAGCTGCCAGGGCCACGCTGGCACCACAACACGAGGGGTTCCAATGCAGTGCCCAGGACCTGGCACCTCCAGCACCCCTAAAGCACAGCCCGTGGCAGCAGTGTTGGCTGGTGGGAGACCAGACTGGGAGCAGATCACAACACCCTGTGTGACAGGAGGACAGAGATGGACACTGCAGGACATGGTGGGGAGTGGTGGCACATGCTGAGGGCACTGTCCCATGCACTCCTGACCAGCTGCCTAATTTGAGAGAAAACAAACTAATTAGCATAAATTAGCAGGGCTGGTTCACTGAGGTACCTGAGCGTGGATGGCTCTTAATTGGCCTTTCCCACTGCTCTGCTTCAAACCCCATAAATCCCAGTTACAATCCCCATTGGTTAATGACTGTCAGGAAGTGCTAATTCAGTGCAGGCACGTGGCTCTATCTCCACATCACAAACAAGTTTCATCATAAATCAGCTCAGGACAGCTCTGTAAGTGATTCACTATTACAATATATTGTGGAGAATCATAAAACTGCTGTTTCATTAATGGCTCATCCTCAAGCCTGTTAGACTTTCATTACTTGAGTTATTAGGTCCATGCATTCAAAATAGAAAATTACAGGTTCTAATTCATTATGAAAAACACAAAACCTCTGCATAGTATATTACTGAAATGAGACAAGAGTTGTTTTTTTTAAATGGACTCCCAGCATTTGCTGCTCTTGAGCAACAGAGACTGCTGAGACAACAAAACACAGCACGGGCAGATAAATAAATCACCAGTGAAGCCATGCAAGGGGGAGAGATGTCATCCAGGCATTCATTTTCCCGCTAACAGCAGGATCCCCAGGGCTGCAGGAGCAGGGAAATGCATGGCAAACTTAATTACACCAGACTTTAAAATAATATTTTTGGACTTCTGCATTCGCAGGGTTATTTGCATACAAATAGCATGTCACACAGCTTTAAGGCCCAGGCTGGCAGGTGTAGGTGTGAAGGTTCTTGGTGCTGGCCCACAGTGCCACAGCTGCCTGGCCAGGGCTCAACCAGGAGCTGCTCCTGCTGCTCCATGGCCATGTCCTGTGGCTCCATGGCCATGTCCTGTGGCTCCATGGCCATGTCCCGTGGCTGCACTGATGTCCCCAGCTGGCCTTGGCTCTGGCTCCTGGCACGTGCTGTGCCAGCTGCTGCCAGCACGGGGACAGCGATGTCTGAGTGACACTGGGAGGGGAGGATGGCTGGAGCTCAGCACATTGCTCTGGCTGCAGGGACAGCATTAATTCCTCCTGAATTAGAGATTACTTTCACTAGAGTTGCCCAGTTCCTAAAGCCCTTTAGTGCCATTTGGTATGGGCATGAACACTCCCTTCAGCCCGGATTTAGAGGTCGTGTTTGCCCACGTTGGTGACATGGGGACACACGTGGGTACAGCCCAGGGGAGTTGCTGTACCCTGCCGTGCCCAGCCGAGCCCTGGGGCCCCCAGAGCCAGCACAGCCCCCACAAACCCCGAACCCCAGAGGTGCTGGGCAGCAGCAACAGAGCTTGACCTGCCCGTGGCAGCATGAAGGCAGCGACTGGCCCTGAAGGGGTTAATTCCACCCAGCACCTTTCCCAGCCCTGAATTATTAATTTTGTTATAATCTGCCTTTGGGCACCCTGCGGCCCCTACAACACTCCCACATTAAAGAAACATTCACTCCCTCACTGCCTGTGCTGCTTTGATGTCGAACACGTGTGAAACTCTCCCAGGGAGGGACCTGTAAAAACCTCATCAAACCATTGAGATATTGCAGATGAGACGGGGAGGGCAGTGCCCACTGATAGTGCCACCCCAGCCCTGGGCCAGTCCCTGCCTGCTGCCTGCAGAGGTTGGCGTGTGCCACCCTGGGCTCCATCAGCTCAGCAGCACGAAAACAAAATGCTGGGTTTGGCAAAAAATCGCCATGCCTGGCTGGGGCTGCACCGCCCTGCCCAGGGGCTGAGGGGCCAGGGGATCCCCAGCAGCTCTGCAGACCCCGACTGGAACACCGGGTGGGCACGGCCATGCCCAGCACGACAGGCTGCCCCAGGCTGCAGGGACAGCACCATGGCCATGGCTACAAGGA